AGATTTTTGATATTCGGCATGCCATGCCAGTACACGCTGTCCTTCATAGAAATCGGATATTGTAGGGATTTGGCGGTGTGCAGATTTTCCCTGCTGAGTACTACTCTTTTTCTTCATTTTCGAATATTGTTCGAACAGAGAAGTACACCAGGAAGGTCTTTGGTAAAAAGTAGACGAAGTGTGCGGAACACCTGACTATTGATCAAGAATACAGTACGACCTGGTACGGATGACAACAGTTCGACCGAAGACCAGTAAGGAAAGGATCGAACAAGGTTGGGAATTAGTGTTCACCAATGATTTGAGTGAACGCTAAATATGTGAAACCACGTAATAAAACAATCAAACTTTGAATTACGCTCGACTATTTCTCCTTAAATAACGAAATACTAAGAGTGAGATGTGTACAAGTGTCCACACTCGCAAAAACAAACAACCTGATAAATGATCAGGGATTCACAACTGCTCCAGAGAAAGCAGAAAAGCTAGCACTACTGACAGTAACGTCAGCGCTAAACTAATAGTAACGTAAGAGGTATACAAGTACCTACACCGAAATATCACAAACTGATATACGATCAGGGATTCACAGTAAATTCGCCTAGGCGAGATCGCCAAATGTAAAGGAAACGATGCCTTTACTGAGTTTATTATAAAATAGACTGACATGTAAGTGCTGTACAATGAGTATATATAGTGCAAGTAACAAAGAGAGAGTGATTAACGTACACACAAAAGGAGAGAGATGAAATATGAATGGAGGGAGATAGAATGAACAATGAGAGACTGAATGGAAAGAGTGAACGTATGTACTGAACAAGGAGAGGAGGAAGAAAGTGACGGACGGAGAAATGAATATTGATAGAGTGTATGTGAATATGAGAGTCAGTTGAAGGAGAGGTCATTATTCTTTACAGTCTCATCATTACTTCCGACTCCTCTACAGCCTATAAATAGAGCAATAGATATTCTTTAGACGGCACGTTTACAGCCCCAGATTTTAATCAAGAACAAACAGGCCATGTTTGTCCAAGAAGGGTTGTCCAGAGACAATCGTCCCTTCGTCTTCAAAACTCCGCTGAAGTTGTGGAGCTTCCTTCAGCAGTCACTACATCATTTCAGCGAAGTTCTCCCGTGCAACCGGTAATGAATCAACAAAGTTCACAACCGATCAGATCATCTGCCGCTCCTCCAACATTAATTGCTAACCAACAACAAAGTAGGTATTCTAATGTTCGCTTAATAATAGCACTTATTTTTAAATATTTAGCTATTCGAAATACAGGAAGTCGTATTCGTGGGCGGAGAGAAGTTCAGAGACAGCAGCAACAAAATACAAATGATGTTAATCAAGATTCGGTTAATATAAGTACCGATGATCCTCATCCAACTCGTGGTGATCATCCGACAAGAACAACAACTACAGGGATGATGCGAGAGGCAATTAATCGCTATAATGATTTTTTGGATGAAGATTTTGCGCTCTATACTCGAATTAACGGGATGCTGGACGATCTGTAAAACAGTATCTTTTTGTGTGTGTGTGGTGTGCGTTCGTGTGTTTATATTGTTGCATTACTTACATATTCAAGCTATAAAGCATAACTATTTTATTATTCCTTTTTACTGTATCATATGAGCAATGGTATTAGTACATTATTTGTCGTTTCTACTATTTTTTAATAATTGTGTTGCACTGTATTCGTGTTGTTATCAACTCTGTGTTTGATACTTGTGTGTGTTTGAATATATTGCAAAGTTTAGTAGACTATATTTCTTTATTTCAAACGGTTTATAACGTGAATAAGAAAAGGAAAAAGAAAAGAAAATCTTCGCTGAAGATCACTAGAGCCGTATCAAATAACGGATATCTATATCTTCTCTGCAGATGTGAGCAAATGTCTATAGAGAGTGTTCCAATACATCGTGTTCTTTTTTCTATATGGTAAAAATATTTCTTGGTTTCTTAGTTTCTTCGTCGTCAAAGAAAACAGAACGCAAGATACTTAGAGCCGTATCAAATAAGGGATATCTATATCTTTTCACTTCTCGGCAAATGTGAGCAAATGTCTGTGCTGAGAAGTGAAAAGATATAGATATCCCTTATTTGATACGGCTCTGTTGTTTCTGTCGCATTTTACACTTGTCGTCTTCTGTATAAGAATAAAAGAAAAAGAAAAAGATACTTCAGATATCTTGCAAATGTTTGTCGAATATCTTTCAGATATCTGTTTATATGCTTTTCTGTACTTATAGATATCTGAAGTATCTTTTCCTTTTTATTTTATTCTTATACAGAACACGACAAGTGTAAAATGCGACAGAACAACGTATCTTTCGTTCTGTTTCTTTTTTTTTCGTTATGTTTTCTTTGACGACAAAGAAACGAAGAAATATTTTTACCATATAGAAAAAAGAGCACGATGTATAACGTTCGTACACTAAGGAAAAGAAACAAACGTGACATCACTCTACACAGACAACAGTCTTAATGTATGTTATATATGTGTGGCAATATATATTAGTTTAGTATTTCACAGTATAGCTAACTGAATATACGCACTAATCCAGAACGTTGCAGATGGTTTCGTAAAAGCTAGTCCATAAAGATAATTCAAATTCTCTAAGACGCAACGTTCTCAAGCGCTCCGTAAATCAATGATTACCATGGCTTTTTTACACTCTTTGTTTTTTTTCTATTCAACCGTCTGATTAGTTCCACGATACATACGAGCGGGAGCAGTAGCGTCACTGTATTCACGACCTCTGTTACAGAAAACGCTGATAAACCTGTGCTTCTTTGGCATCTGAGATTAAGCACATCACATCTGGCTTCAGTGTGAATAAAGAGAACCCAATAACCGAGAAGGCTGTGACCTTTAAAAGGTTTAGTTTCGATTTATGATCGAAGTCTTCAAAGTATTTTCTCAAAAGCTTTATAACTCCAGCATTTTTCTTTGCCGTGAAGTTCCCTATCGGTCGGTTTGTAACTTAGAAGCTGTTACACTCGTGTTTTGTGCTGACGCCTATATGCGCAAGGTCACTCAGCCGCTGTGTCGTTTTGAGGATGAAGCAGTAAATACAACTTTTTTCAGTAATATACCGTTTCATCAAAAAAACGAATTACATAAAGTCCATCTTCTAAAATTTCCCGAGGATTCATCGAAGCTGAAAATTTTCAGGCAGTGTGTACTTTTTACACATGTTGTATCTACGGAGGCCGTATATACAGCCCCGCACTGGTTTCCCCGACACCCGGTGGTGAGTATCCCGAGCTAACCCCGGCTGGGATTAAGCGATCACGGTCGAAAAATTCCTTTTCGGGTTCGGAGTCTGGGTCGTGGAGAGGAAAAAATTAGGACTCACCGAAGGTTAACCTTTTACCTCCCAAGGAATGAAAAAAGGTATCTTATAATTTTAATTGCCACTTTCGACGTTCTTTTGGGCCTTGTTCATCCTCTTTCGCAACCAAAATTCACTCCGTACACCACTACATGGCTTTTTTCAACATCTACACTTCATTTTTGCTGGGAAAAATTTTCGGGTGAAATAGCGATCTGGGATCGGTGAAAGTTTTTGAAAATTTTCGTGATCGGGGATCGGGGTCAAAAACTGACCTACTGCAGGGCTCTAGCCGCATGAGCACCAACGTATCCTCACATAATGAAAGCTTTCTCAAAAATAGTCATATTTTTCGCTTTTCCGCGTCCAATGTACAGTTCTCAAAAGCGATGCCATGTTTCGAAGCAATCTCTCATACCAAGACTTGATTTGATATGACAGGAAGGACCTATCCTGCTCACTTTTTGGCCTTATTTTTCCTGCTTCATTTGATATAGGGTAACAGCAAAAGTGCCGAATAAATATATAGTCTTTCGAGAGCCTGCGCTTAATGAAAAATGCTTTTACACGGTGGAATTTTGTAGAACTTCTACCGACAAATTTCCTATAATAGAACTTTAGGCTGAATTTCTGGAAAGAGAAGTTTAACTCTCCTACTAAAAAAAGCGGACTCAGCTTTTTTAAAAGAAAAATGTCGA